AATATAATACACCATACATATAATATAAGAGTTAAGGTTTTCCATGCACTATATGCTATTTGTTTTCTTTCTTTAGTATATACTGTATACTGTATACTGTATACTGTATACTGTATAGTAAGTATCTAGCGTTATTTATGTATATATTCCATTTTATTCTTGTTGTTGTTGTTCTTGTTGTTGTTGATGTTGTTGATATTTGAGAATTCAACTAAAGGTCAAATAAAATGCATCAAATCAAGTTCTGACTCAATTTGAAATCAAATCAAACAGCTTTTCATGGGGCTTCTTACAACGCTTTGGGGCGTCAAATATATCGTTTCATATTATAGATATCCTTTTTTTTATCATTTATCATATTATTATTATTATTATAATTATTGTTGTTGTTGTTATTAATTTCAGTTAATGCTTACCGTTTCTATTTCAATGTGTATTTATCTATAATTTAAATATTTCTCATACTGTTGCTTGATTTGCTTGGAGTTTTACGTTTGTTTCTTGATTTCTTTGATGCTTTTACGATGGTTGCTCACTTAAAAACTATTATCACTATTGCAGAAAGCGAAAGCGGCTGTACTCAATAATACGAGTGTATCTCCCCATATGGAACGGTATGGTAGTGTATTCAAGAAGTATACCCTATTTTCCTCTCCTTGATACTCTGCTATACCCGTCCATATCATACACTGTAGTTGTTATTTTATTGTTATTGTTGTTGTTGTTGTTATTTTAGGCATTTACTATGAATTTGATTTGTTTTTGTTTTTTGCTTTGGTTGTTGTCCAGAAATGTGATAATTTTCGGAAAATTGGTTTTGTTTTTACTCTTTTTCATTTGTCGGAAAACATTATCTTTGAATATTATACTGAAACATTTGTTTTTTTTTTGTTTTTATCATAATTTTTATGTTAAGGATTGAGTTTTTTGGTTTTTGGTTTTTATTATAAGAAGAAAGGATTTTCTCGAGTTGTTTTGCTTGTCAAGTCGTTTCGAAAAGCAGCTTTCGAATTTTACATTTTCGTATTTTAAGTTTTTTTGGTTTGCCAAGTTGGTAATTTTCTATGTGGTTCTTTTTTCATATCCATGCCTTTGGGTGTGATGGTGTGTGTTTAAGTGTGTGTGTGTGTGTGTGTGTGTGTGTGTGTGTGTGTGTTTGGGTTATATGCGGTTACATATTTGTTTAGTGGATGCTTTATTGAGACTGCAATTAAAATTTCTGCTATAAAAATTACTTGTATTTGTACTCTTGGTTATTTAAATTGGGCTATTGTTGGTTGTTAGGTATGCTTGTAACTTTGTGTGTAGAACTCTGATCTATAACTTTAACTATTAATTCAGGGTTCTCTCTATATATGATTCGAGGACTGGTTCACCTATATGGCTTAAACTACGTATTTTGTTAGCCCCTTTGTCTGTCCAGGCTGTTTGTCGTGTCTCAAGTCTTACTTTTAAGATATCTTCTCAGTAGACGCGTCTACTCGTCTTCTAGGTTTTGTCTAAGCCGGGTTTAACTTCGTTTTGATTTCCTTTTTTCTTTAAATTTGAGCTTTTCATTTTTTTTTTTAGTTATTTTCAACTTCCACTGAAGCAGCAAATTTTGGAGCTTTCTATGCATTCTTCACATGATTCCTTCTCTATGAAATTTTGTTTGCAACTACAAAAATAATAATTATCATGGAAACTGAAAGGCAATTAAATGTGTGAAAAACAAAATAAATTATAAACTTAAAAGAGCAGAATTTTGTCTGCAATATTCTTGCAATATTCAATGGAGCTTTTGGGAAAATTTTGCTTAGTTTTTTATGCTATGATGTTGTTTTTTTTTTTGTTTTTGTTTTTTAATCAATTTTTAGCGCCTAAATTTATGTTTTTGTTTTAATTCGATTAAGTGTATGTGTTTAATTTTGTTGTTATGCCTAAAAATTTACAAAAGTTTTATGTAATTATTTAATTTTATCGTATGTTTCGTTTTGTAATTGTTTTTGTTTTTTTTTTTGCTTTTTTTTTGTTTTTGCATTTATCACAGCGACATTCAGTCTAAATTTTGCTTTTATTGGAATTATAGCATAATTTGCCATAATTGATATAAATATTTATAGTAGATATTCATTTTAGTTAACTAAAACTAAACATAATTTTGATTTAAAGCCAAAAGGTGTTTGTTTTGTGTTCGTTCGTTTTTGTTTTGTTTGTTTTTTTTTTTCATCATTTAAAGCCAAAAATAATTGTTAAAAATTTCGTCTAAAAAGGCCTAAAAGTATATAGCTTAGTGTTAATTTTGGTAATACTTATAGCAAATCATGCTGTTCTTGAATTAACTTGGTCTAATTCCAATAAAAGCCTTCATATTGGATACCATAGAAATGTATGTTGTTGTTCTTTTTGTTGTTGTTGTTGTTGTTGTTCTGTTTGCCACATGCAATTTGTTGTGTCTCAATGTGCCTAAAAAGTGTTTTAAAATTTTGACTAACCTTTTTTCACAGGTGTTTAATAAAATTTTTACAATGCCAAACAATTTCTCATCATTTTCATTCCATTTTGTTTTTTTTTTGTCATTACTTTTTTTTAAACTATTTATAAAACTTTTGCACATGTTTTCGATAAATTTTCTTTGCCAAAAAGATGACTATTTACAATTTCATTAGCCCAATAATTGCCGAAAAGTGTTTGTATTAAACTGAGCCTATCACAAAAATCAGACGCCTTGCCCAAGCCTAAAAACATATATATATTTGTTTGTAATTGTATGTTGTGTAAATGCCAAAAAATGTTGTTCAAGAGTCAAAGGTTACTCCATAAACAGATTCGAAATTATATTATATAAATATATAATTATTTGTTGGTTTATTAAAAATGATTAAATAATAGATGCAAACATAATTTTAAAAACTAAAACAGTAAAAACAAATCAATTTCGTAATTTGATTTCGAATTGAAACTTAACATTAACATTAAGAAATAAAAATTGCATACATATAGCATACATATATATATATATATTAAATAATGAGTAGATTACTTGCAAATTGGGGATTGCTAAATTATAATTAATTTCTGTTCATTTGTTGTTATAGGGAACATATTCTATTAGATTAGTAACAATTATAAATGCTTTGACGGTACATTGGAAAATTTGATAAGAAACTAAATTTGTTGTTTTCATTTTTATATCCACACAGATACAGATGGAGCAATACAGAATTTTAGATATGTGAACGTTCGGATAGTCTATAGAAGTTCGAGTGTTTGTTTTTTTAAGTGCATATCTGACTATTGTTCATTAATGTATGGCACCTGAAGAGTCACATCTGGATAACCTTTTGCTATTTGTATAAACATTTTGTGTGTCGGATTTGGTGGTTGGGGATGGGCCGGGGTTTTGCCTATGTGTGGACATATTATATATAAATGTGTATTGCTAGTTACTAAAATAAAATAAAACTCAACATAAATTACACACAAACAATTAGGGAAGACAACAAATGTTTGTTTCCAATAAATTTACAACTTAAAATGAAAATTGTTTAATTATAAATTGCATGTTAGGTTTTTGTTTTAATCTTCTTTTTTTTTTTTGTGTTGCTTTTTAATTATAATAAAAAAATCACATCTCAATCAATAAAAATAAGCAAGTTTTCGCTAGCTTGTGATACGAGTAACTGCCAAGATAAACTAATAGGTTTTTTATGTGTACATAATTATAATAAACTATATAAATAAAATCCTTTATATTATATTTCAATTCAGTTGTCTGAAGATCAATTCAAATGAATATTCCAATATTACAAGATAAGCAAAATTATATATATATATATAAATCATATAAGTTAGCTGCTGTCTTCTTGCCAAAAGATATAAACATAATTTGCTCAGCGCAACGTTGACGCCTTTTTAACCCCCAAACCCCCTTCCCGCTAGCTGCCCCATACAAATCTCCCACTCTCTTTCTCTATCTCTCGCTCCTCTCTCTCACTCTAACTCTCCTTGTCGCACTCTCACCAACTATCCTAACAGTACGCCTAGAAATCGTATAACTCGTGTTGTGTGTTAATGAACCTTCTTTATAAATATGTTATATTTTTATGATAGTTTTTAAAAGTAAAAATCCTAAAACGAAATTTTATAGAAAAAGGAATCGTATAACGTTGTGTTTTGGTTAATCTACGCAAAGTTCTTGAACCAAATGGTCCTTATTTTTTTTTTTACCATTTTGCATTTGATGTTTATGGTTGTGTGTGTTTGTGTGTGTGTGTGTGTGTGTGTGTCAAAGGAGTTTAGAGTCCTTTTCGAAAAGACTAGTACTCGTCTGTTCATGCTTCGTTCTGTGTCTGACCAAAACTATGTTTTGACTCTTTTTTAAAACTAGGAGAATTTCGTGTTGTCGCATTTTAAACTAAAGAACTTATCCAGAACTATCATGAAAACCTATTAAATAACGTGAATATTTTTTTGTTTTATTTTCTGCCTCAAATTCGCAACTTTTCCGATTCTCCTGCGAAAACGTGCGGCTGGAAAACTCTTCCTTTTTTTTGTTGTTTTTTTTTTTTTAATTTTTTAGCATACTCAAAATGTGGGCGTGGCTGGAGCATTGTTTTCGTTTTTGCTATGCTTTGTTGCTGCTGCTGCCGTTGGATGACGTGAAGAGCTGGTTCACTGATGACATCATAGAGATCCGAATATCGAGTGTATGTGTGGGTGTATGGGTATCGCATGCGACAGTGTCGCCGACGGCGGCGCGGGCGCAACGCCATTGGGCGTGGCCGCCAGCGCATGTCCTGCATGCGGATGCGGCGGATGCGCCGATGGCGGCGGCGGCGGCGGCAGCGTTATGGACAATGTCACCGTCTGCGGCGCTGCCACCGTCGAGGCGTGTGTGGATGTGGGCGGGGCTGTTGCGGCACCCGTTGCCGTGATATGATGCGCACTTGTCGGCGGCGCCGGCGGCGGGGGAAGATGCGTTGTTGTTGTTGCCGCCACCGATTGCTGTTGCTGCTGTTGCTGTTGTTGCTGCTGCTGCTGTTGCTGCTGCTGTTGTTGTTGCGCTCCAGCTGCTCCAGTGGTGGGATGTCACTGGGCCACCACGGAGGTGGCCGCATTCTGTTGCACCACAACGCCCGGCGCCACCGCATTCGCCACGGTGACGGTCACAGGCGGCGTGGGGCCATTTGCATGGGCTGCGCTCGGCTGCTGCTGCTGCTGCTGGGCATGGAAGGGATGCTGGAAGGGCGGGCCGTAGCACTGCGGAAAGTATAGCTCATTCTTGACCACCGATTGCTGAGCAACCGCTGCAGCGGCCGCCGCATTGGCCGCCATGCTGCGCACGGGCAATATGTTGGCCTTGTTGTCCACCGTGGCGGGATTGTTGTTGTTGAGGAACTGCTGCGCCACCAGGCTCTTGGCATCGTTCATCAGGTGATTGGCGACCACAGCGACCGAGGCGGCCGCATTGTTCTGCTGCTGCTGTTGTTGCTGCTGTTGCTGCTGCACCTGTTGCTGCTGCTGCTGTTGCTGTTGTTGCTGCTGCACCTGTTGCTGCTGCTGCTGTTGCTGCTGGCGCCGCACCTTGGTGCTGTTGGGATTCATGTGGTTGTCAATGTGCTTTGTCACCTCGTTCTCGGTGGCGAAGCGTCGCCGGCAGTTGGGCATCGGGCAGCAGAACGGACGATCTCCCTGAGAAGTCAAAGAAATTAAATTGGATTAAGACCTGTTTTCCATTTGCCGCTGGCGGGCGCCTCATGTGTGTGAGCTTCGGCTAGGCTACAACTACCTGGTGGGTGCGCGTATGCTGGTCCAGAATCGCCTTCTGTCTAAAGTCCTTGCCACACTGCGCGCACTTGTACGGCTTCTCCCCGGTGTGAATGCGCAAGTGCTGTGGGAGAATAACAATCAGAACAGTTCCACATGACATACATCGAGAGGAGTTTCAAGTAGGCATCGATTCCAATTTGCATGCTAAATATATATTTATATCCAAAGGTCTATCGCGATTCGATTTAATTTTGATTTTCTGCCAATTGAAACCTCCTGATTCCTACTGAGGGAGCCTGGATCCCTGAAGTGGAATGGCCCTTGGAACCGAACCCACCTGATTCAGAATGGTTCGCTGGCGGAAGAAGCGCGGACAGTACATGCAGCCGAAGGGCTTCTCGTTCGTGTGGATCCTCAGATGCTGGGTGAGATGCGATTGCTGACGGAAGCGCTTGCCGCACTCCGGACAGGGATACGGCCTGGATTCGATGTGTATGCAGCCGTGCTGGAGCAGCGTCGTCTTCTGCTTGAACTCCTTGTCGCAGATGGGACACCGCACGTAGAGCGGCATATTCGCCGGCCGTACGCCAATATGTTGCAGCACCTCGGGCAGTATCTTTTGACCTGCTAGAAGCTCCAATTAAAATTCTGCACACGGGGGCAGGAGTGGCCAGCTCGTCTACTCACCCTTGCCATCCTTAAAGTACGAGGGATAGTGCATGCCTCCGCTGCCATCAGGTGTACCCTGGGAGTCATCGTCATGGTAGCCACCGCCGGCGACGGCAATGTCGCCCTTCGTGTCCGCCTCCTCGCCCGGAAAGGGCACGTCCGATGGCCAGAGCGTCGGATGCGGTCCGTTCTTGAAAATGAGATGAGGCGAGACATCTGCAGGAGGGACGTGTTGTTCCGCAGCCGGGTGAATATGAAAGTAATCAAGCCAGAGAGTGCCACTGTTAGCAGCGCTTAAATTTGGCTCGTAGCCACTTTCGAGCTTATCACATAAGTCGCCTAGCATCTTGTACTAAACTAGAGATGTACTAGCTTTTAATATTTGCTTTTTTTTCTTTTTTTTTTTTTAATAATTTTGTTTTTGTTCTGTTCACTTTTGTAAAGTTGTTGACTGTTTGAGACCCCCAAATGGAATGCTCTTTTTTTGTAACTATTTTTTTTTTTATTAATTTTCCAGACATCTGCACGATTTGGTAATTTTCTGATCGATATGTCAGAGATTGCTTGGGTTTTATATATTTTTTAGTTTGTGTGGAGTGTTGGGAGTTGTTAAACTCCAGAAGTCTGAAGATGCTGTAAGGTATATTATATTCGAATTCTTTAAATACATATCCTAACTCAAGTTCCAGATATCCGTTAAGCATCTTGATTATCCGTTTGGAAATTCAATTTGTATTTAGTTACTTTGGAAATAGTTTCTGACAAAGTTTCTTTCCCATTTTTATAACTACTTATTTCAATTGAGGGTATTCCGCTTGGCCATCCGCATTCCTTTCCCCCTCATCTATCGGACTAGGAGTTACATTCCACTTCCATTTTTCCACTTCTCCTCTCGTCATTCCATTTTTAGGGACCCTCAAGAAGCCAACAACTTGAATTTGGAATAATTTAAAATAAATTAAACAAAAAAAAAAAAAGTTCGAATTTCGGCCAAAAGATCGCTCAATTTGTTTTCGTGTTTTAGAATTTTGCAAGGGATTTGCATTGCTGCAAACGCTGTTAGCCAAACGTTTGCGAATCTGACGATCCGCGCTAGCACTACGAGAGCCGGAGCTAGCAAATGGGTCGGGTAGCTGGTTTGCCTTGCGGCCCTAACTATCGGGCGGATGTCGCCCATCGTTATCGGTAATGGATGTGTTAACTGTCGCTCGCCTTGGTGGGTGCGCACATGCTGATTGAGGATGGCCTTCTGGCGAAAGTGCTTGCCGCACTCGGGGCAGGCGAAGGGCTTCTCACCCGAATGGATGCGTATGTGCTGGTTGAGTATTGCGCGCTGCCGGAAGCTGCGCGAGCAGTACGGGCAGGTGAATGGCTTTTCGTTCGCGTGGATGCGCAGGTGTTGCGTCAGATGGGATTGCTGGCGGAACCGCTTGCCGCACTCGGAGCACGGAAATGGACGGGCGTCCGTGTGTATCCGATCGTGCTGCAGCAGTGTGCTCTTCTGCTTGAAGTCCTTGCCGCAGGTCAGGCACTTGAACAGCCGCAGATCGCTGTGCGGCTTGTTCTTGTGCGGGCGTCCCGGTCCCGTGCGTCCGCCCGGCGTCCCCGTGGCGCCCGCAGCGCCGGCTGCCACGCCATTGGCCGCCGCAGCGCCCTCATTGGCATTGCCATTCGCCGGGCCACCGTTCTGGTTGCCGCCGTTCGGTGGTGCCCCATTCTGCTGCTGTTGTTGCTGCTGCTGCTGCTGTTGCTGCTGTCCCGGCAGCAGCTCGGGCAGCGCGTACGCCTCGCCCCCGTTCTGCTCCAGCTTGTTGAGATAGTGCAGCGGCGGAAAACCAGGTGGCGCCAGCATGCCGCCCTGCGGCGCTCCATGGCGCGGCGCATAGTAGTCGGGTGTCTGGAAGCCATTGCTGGGATCACCTTGCGGCTGTCCACCGCCATTCTGCTGCACGTGCGGATTCCCCTGCCCAGCCTCGCCGGCGTTCGCCGGTGCGTGCTGCGGCTCGTTGCTGCTTTGGTTTGGATTTGGCGCGGAGTTCTGTTGGTTGGCAAGCTGCAAGTGAAGAGCCGGCCAAATTGCGATAGATTAGTTCAATATTCCGGAATATAATTGAGTTATGAGAGTTTGGGTTACATGAAACATGACTATAATCAGGGCTGCAAATCGGGTTCGAACCAAAAACTCGGTTCAAAATTAACAATTCCAAATTAATTTTATCACATCCTGGCTGTAGAGAGTTGGTTCGAATCCTAGGCTGAAGCAGCGACAATTTTGTTTTGTTTTTTTTTGTTTTTAGTTTTTAGTCCTGATTATAGTAATAAATATTTGTATTTCAATTTGATCGTGTCTTTGTGATGTGTGTGTCTTTGTGGATATGAGTGTGTGCTCCTTATGCAAATAAAGACATGAATATTGATGTAGGACGATGAATGAATGAAATGAACTTCAGCCTGAACTGTACGTGAGGAGTAAATGAACGGGAATAACGATAATCAAGCTGCTTATCCTCAGCCCGACTCCCATACGACATCCAGATAGGCTCCACTGGGAGCTGCTCACCTGATTCATGGCATCATCCTCGGCGTTGCCATTCGCTCGCTGCTGCTGCTGCACCGACGGATACGGACTGGAGGATGGCGACACCTGCTGCTGGCGTCCGTCGCCGCTGCCATTGTCCCGCGGCTCCTGGCCGCCCGGCGGACTCTGCGGCTGGCCCGCCGCCGCCGCAGCTGCTGCTGCCTGCGCAGCGGCTGTTGCGTTCTGCTGCTGCTGCTGCTGTTGCTGCTGCTGTTGTTGTTGCTGCTGCTGCTGCTGGGCGCTGAGATGTTGCTGGGCCTGTTGCTGGATGTTTGGGTACATTTCGCTGCCCCATTGGGCTGCACTGGCGCCAATGGCGCCGGCATTGCGTTCCGCGTCCTGCGAGTCCTTGTAGAGAACGTACGGCTGGCCCGTGTCCTGCGTGATGCAGTACATTATCTGGCGGGGAACCTTCAGGCCTGCCGCTATGCAGGCCGCAAAGGAGGCCGAGAAATTTATGGCCATTTTGTGGTAGTTCTTGTTCTTGTTCTGCTTCTTCTTCTTTTTCTTCTTCTTCTTACTGTTTGGGTATTTTTGTTGCTGTTGTTGTAGATAGTTCTACGCAGCGTCCTTTTTGGCTGCACAGCGATTATCCTGTGCTGCTCTTGCACTTGATTTTAGCTCTTCGCTTCTTTGTCGTTGGCTTTTGTTTTTATTGACTCGTGTTGCACATTTTTGCAGTGTTTTTTGTTTGGTTTTGAGTTTTATGTTTTTGTTTATTTTACTGCTTCATTTGTTTCTTTTGAAAGCTCGCATTTTATTATCATTTGAAGTTCCTTTCTTCTTATTTAGTTTTGTCTTATTTAGTTTTGTTCTTCTTGTTTTGATTCAAATTATATTAAAACTTTGCTCTTTAGCCTTTGCTTCTTTCTTATTGACTTCAATGAGTACCCAAAAAACATGTCATTTTCACATGATTATTCGAAATAACTGACTGAAATGTAATTTCTTGCGCATGGGCTTTCAACAACTAACAGTTTTTACTCTTTCTGGTACAGCTGCAAGAAAGTCAAAATCACCTATTTAAGACTTGTTAAGATATTGAATTTACTTTAAAGTTGTCATTCGATTATTTATTTTTATATATTATTGAACAAAACACGACGAAATTAGGAATTAGTTTAGGCCCCTTTCTGCTTTTTCATTGCCTGACTTGCTTGTAATTCTCAACTAGTTAAAGCACACTAGTAAAACACACAGTAAAAGTTGTTGACAAAACCAAAACCTGTTCATTTGTGGGTCTTTAATATATTAATGATTAAATTTAGTCAAAACTTATGTTTCCATTAAGGCCTTATCAAAATAAACACAATTCACTAACAGCCAATAAATGTCTAATTTTTAACTTCAAACAAACTTTTGACAAATAAATAAAAAAAACTATTGAAAAGCAACAAAAATGCGACGCAAATTAAAAACAATGAAGATCATCAGCGGCTGATTGAGAGGAGTGCCGCAAAAATGGATACCGCATGCCAAGCAGGCTGGCACAACTCCTCCCCCTCCCCACCTTCCTTTATATCTATCCCCCAGAGCCCCTTCTAACCCACCCGCAGCCCGCCATTCCCATTAACGCTAGCCTGTCGCTGCTCCCACACCCCCAATCGCAGGCGACTCGCCGCTGGCTGGCCACATGTTGTGCCTCCTTTTGTTGTCATGGGCTGCCTTTTGCTGGCCCTGGCTCTGGCTCGGGCTCTGGCTCTGGCTGTGAGTCTGCTTCCAACTCTGACTCTTGTGTCTTTTATCTTTTTGCAATGTTCTTTTTACTCTGTTTTTTTTTACCATATTTTTCTCATTTTTTTTGCTGCCTCACGACGACGTGCCAACTTTTTAATGCGGGATCAAGGTCTCGGCAGATATACAGATACACACACACACACACACACGACGAGCGGGACGCCGCCCAGTTCGTGGCCTGTTGTCCTAAGCGAACAGATCCATTAACAATATACAAGTAAAGTGGCATAGAAACATGTGGCCATAGTTAAACATAGACATGAGCTGCCCAGTTATTGGCTCTCATCATTTGCAAATCTTTAGACAAGCAATAGACGAAACTTCGGCAAAGCTGAGTAATTTGGCTTGACGGAGCTTCAAAGAATCTGATTGACTTGTTGAATCCATTTGACACTGGGTTAAAGTAGCAAGCAATTAGGCAGTGGATAGTTAGCTATTTCAAGAACCTGCCTGCCGTCTATAGAGCTGATAATATATTTATATATGATATATAAGCTGAGTTTGAGTAATCTTTTTTGTATCGATCCTAGAGCTATAAGAAAGCCACAATACATCTATTTGTTATAAATTAAACAGATAGTTATTATAAATAACAACTAGTTAGTATTACTAACAAGTGATCAAAGCCAGCAAGAACAACAAAAAGGTATTAAAATCAAGAATAAATAATGAGTCCTATCTCTAACTAATTCAAGAACCTCCCTGTTTTATGTTCAGCAAACTTTCTGTAGACTCTAGATGTGCAAGGTCGTATCCTCAGTCCCAAGCTATAACTACTTGAGAATTATAAGCACCGAAAAAGTGATAAACCTAGCGAAAGCAAAGCCACAACGAAAGAGCATCGCTTCTTATCAACAGAAGAGTGGGCAATAGTTTTTTGTGTAGATTATCTAGGAATATGAAATTGTTTACGAAGATAGTAATATTTATCTTGATTATGTATATATTGATGCATAAATATTTTGTTTTTCATCTGAGTATCTGCACAATTGTTGTTTATTGAACAATTTTAAGAATCATTCAAGCTAAGTAAAGTCAAAAGGTAAAGTTCGCCTGTTTCGTGTTAACTAAATTGGTTAAACAAACTGTGAAAAGTAATCGATATCGTTGCCAAATGACGAAATGAATTGGAAAAATTAAATTGAAAACGCATTGCGTGCCCGCAGCAACAATAAACTAAAGCAAAGGCAGCAGCAACAACAATTACAAGAGCAACAACAATTACAAGAAGCTGGCGCTACCGCATCGAATCGCAACGCAACGCAACGCATCGCATCGAGTTAAGATTCGAGCATGAGTATGTATGAGTGTGAGTGTGTGAGTGTAAGTGTGAGTGCCAGTTCGATTCGTTTGAGGCGAGAGAACTAAACTACCTTGAACCCGTAAATGAACGCGTCGCGCTAGCCAACCGACTGCCAGATACGATACCTCAACAGAGAACAGTCTGGCATGGAACGGGGCCCGAGCAGGGACCGACACTCTGACTGCCGGGGCGGGCGGCCAGTGGGGTAGCTGCGGGGTGCGAGGTGCGGGGTGTGCTGCTGCAGTCAGTCAGTCAGTCGCTGGCAATGCAGTTGCACTTCGTGCCGTCCCAGTCCCAGTCGCTGTTGCTATTTGTGAATTATTGCGCTCCATTGGCAGCGCGACAGCGTTTGCAATTTATGCGTTCGTTGCCGCTGCAATTGCCCCGCCTGCCCGCGCCAGCCCTCCGTCACAGTCCCCGTCCCAGTCGCAGTTGCAGTTGCAGTTGCAGTTCCAGTCACACTATCTATCTACAAGCACGGCATGTTTGTTTTATTTTCTGCCTCGCCCCACACACTCTGGCCGCCTTTCTTCTTGCGCTCCCCTTACAAATGTAATGAGCAGTTTATTTTTAAATGCGTGCGGCCATTTAAATGAGTGTTAGCAGATCCGTTGGGAAGACGATCGTAAATGCTGAGCAGATGATCTCTAACGATAGGCAGCTAGAATTAATCACATTAACAGTTATGGCTGGTTAAAGAGGTGCATTAGTTAAAAGACGTTTAAAATATTTGGGATTAACTTACGAGTGCACTCCCTTCAATTTACAATTCCTCTTTGTGCGGGCATCCTTAAAGGTTTATCTGGCAGCACATATTTGCTGCAAGCCTCACCTAGTTACAGTTGCTTAACATAACAGAACATAACATAAAGCAATTATGTTAAAAAAATAACATTTAAAAAATGCACATATTTAACAGATTTCTTGTTGAAAGCATTTTCAAACGAAATCAAATTTAATATCCCATGGCAATGGGAACAAGAGCCCACACACTGAACATTAAAGTGCATTCAGGATTGTTTCTCTACAAATTTGAAAGGTTCAGCCAAGCAAATCGAAACGCACGCTTTGTAGCAGCAGACAAACTCCACCTACTTTACACCTGACGGGCGAGGCACAATGGACACGCAGTGTGGTGGCAGCAAAAGATACTAGTTAAAGATACAAGATACAAGCTAAAGATACAAGATACTCATATAAATGCACATGAAGCAGATACAATGAGGCGAGAGATGGATGCCAGATATTAATGGCCATAAACGCCGCCTGTCATTGGCTGAAACATTGCTGGCCCACACGCCATTGAAATTGAAATAGAAATAGAAAAAGAGGCAAGGAAACTAGAGTAGAAATCGTGGGGGGCGTCAACGTGGACGTTGACAACTTTCACTGCCGGCGAAGCGTGCACAGAAATTGGCAAGAAATTCGCCAAGCAATAAGAAATCAAAAAGTGGAGCATACGAAAAATAGGATATATATTTATCTAATAATTTTACAATTCAAATGCGGCGTATTATAAATGCAGCAAAAGGTAGATACGCGTTATCACAAGAAATTAAATAGTTTAAAGCTTTCCCTGGAAATTTTTGTTAGCATTAAACTTTTAAAATAGAAAACTCCGCCTTTTCATTAAGCAAGGAAATCTACAGAGTTTTAAAATAAGAGTTTTGTAGAAAGCGCGCCATTTACTTGCAGTTCTTAATAACATATATGTTATAAAGAGCACTGTTAATTAACATATGTTTATCGACTGACTCTGATAAGCAGTTCTTAATAACATATATGTTATAAAGAGCACTGTTAATTAACATATGATTATCTGCTGACTCTGTTACGCAGTTCGAAGCCAGTTAAAATGGTTTTCATATCATAAAACACTTGGCGAACACACACAATCCACTCCATTTGCAAATATTTAAACGAGCTCCACAGTGATTCAGCACTTCCTTCAATTACCCGCTCCACTCCTAACAGATCGCCAACAAATTTAACTTTCAAATTGATTTACAACTTCAATTTATATGTAGTCAATTTTTAGAACTAAAAGCCAACGCACACACACAAGTGCTCACGGGCCTATCTCTATATTCTATTTATCTGGCAACGTAGAAGAAGCAGAAAACACGACACAACAAAAATTTGGTTTCAAGGTTAGGGTATACAAAATAACAAAAACAACAAAAAAAAAAAAAAAAAAAATGGCAAACTTTTTGCGCCAACAACAAAAACGAGCGCCAAAAATTTAACGTAATTTGTGCAGTCGTCTAATTCAATACATAAAAGCTTCCCCCAGCCAGAGAGCGGGAGCTAAAGGAAGAGCAAGGGAGAGGTGCACAGAGGGGGTAGAGAGATTCAGAGAGAGAGAGAGAGAGAGAGAGAGAGAGCGCGCGCTCACATAAACTACAGGTAAAGCACAATTGTTAGATACGCCGCACGACCAGCAAAAAAGAGTAGAAAAAAATGTGAGTCATGGAAAGGCGTCCAATTTTTATTGTTTCTTCTTTTTAACCATTTTTTTTTTTTTTTTTTTTGAGTTGCAAACTCTTTGCCAAAAGCAAAAGGTTTTTGGTAGAAGTACTCCGCAAATACACCTAGGCAATGGGTTTTATGGGATTATCAGAAATTTGTGTTTGGCATGTTGCAGATACAACAGCTTTGGGCCTGGACTAGCTGTGCATGTTTGTGCATGGCTTGTTTTAGGCAATTTTTTGTCTGTTGGTAATCAATACACTTTGGCAATATTTAACAGTTAAGATCTTTTATGAAAAATGTTGGCAATTTATTTGAAACAAAACTAAGTCTATATAACATACCAATCAAATATATTAAGATTCTAATTCCATCAAAAATGGGCAAATAACAAATAAACATGTAAGAGGTTCTAGTCGGGAGCTCCCGACTAGGGGATACCCTGAACCCTCTTCTTACAACAACAAATGAATATATATATTCTATTTTAGAAGCTATATGTCAAGTTTGGTGACTCTAGCTCTTATTATAATGATGTAGGAGAAATAGCTTTAGTTATTCTCTCTATTTAGCTATGTGAATAGATACGTTATAAATGTAAATTAATAAAAATATATATACAAATATGATATATAACAAATATATATTTAATAAATATTAAGTTTTGGCAAACAAATATAATTTCCACTTTGCGAATTATAAAGAATTATAAGCCATGACAGTTTGAATAGATTTTCTACGCATGTTTTTTCTTTAATATTTCTCGCTAGTCGTCTTTTCTTTAATGAATCTCAACTCGATTGCTTATCGAAATATAATTTTGACTTTCCGAAAGCATGAATAGATTTCCCATGCGTCGTCTTTTCTTTAGTGAATCGCAAATAGTTCCAAGTGTTAGCTAAAGTTCGTATTGCCCAGCTGGGTTAGGGCATTTGGTGCTCGTTATGTTTCGCGCTACCTTTTCCGAGCTCGCATTCTATGTAAATATCTATACATTTAATTAACGCGTCGAATTTTCGAACTCGACGTTCGGCGACAAACAAAAAACGACAAATAAAAGGAAACAAAATACTGCTGTGCCCGGCTACAATTCGAACTGAGATCTCGTGTGATGATAGATGGGGTCTCGATTGGATGGCAGTTCCACACGCCACACATGCATTAGACTATTGCAGATGTATCTGTTAGATACACAACACACACACGTACACGCACACACACACACACACACACACACACACAGTGTAACACTTGGGGCTCACAATTAAGTGATTTTGCTTGTTTTGTTGTTGTTGAACATTTTGTGGATTTTAGTTTTTTGTGCGAAAAATTTGTTGGTTTTTTTTTTTTTGGTTTGCGTATAATTCATCATATTCCTTTATGGCCTGACATTCGCATACAGCATTTGTAGATACGCACCAGCACAGATTATACGCCCGCCCACCCCCCCCCCCCCCCCTCACACACACACACACCCAAAATAAACGAATTTAGCCCCAGGGGGAATTTCGCAAAAAAAAAGAAGTGGAAAAAAATCGCAAATGATTTGTGGCAAATTTTTTGTTTCTTTATTTGCTTTTAGTTTTTGCGTATTTCGCTTTGCTCTTGCTGCTTGTTGTTGCTGCTCATTAGTGCCGTTTTCTATGTGTGTGTGTGTGTGTGTGTGTGACTTCTCTTTGCATCCCCTCTGCTGCCCCCGCGTCTACACCTACTCCTGACTCTTTGCATTTTGTCAACTTGATTTACGCGCAAAACATTTTCGGCTGCGCGAATTTTTTTTGTTCATTTTTTTATTAATACTTGATTTCCTTTTAATTTTCGTTACGGTCCAGCAAGTTTTTGTTATATTAATTTTAATTCGCTTTTCACTCACCTGTTTTCCACAATTGTTGTGTTCTTAAGTTTTCCCAAAAAAAATATCCCAAATGTTTTTCAAATTTTCTTTTTGGTTTTTAGTTGATTTTTAATGCTAAAAAGAAAACAGAAATATATTTGAAAGTTAATAAATATATTAGGAACATTTGATAACGATTAAGTAAAATTAATTGAAGCAATTATTTTTGGATAAAATTTAAGCCTGACTTTGAGTAAGTACATGAGAAACTCAACTTGAATAAAAGTTTTCTATAGTTAGACAAATAACTGTGGCTTTAAAACTAAGAAGTACCTGACTCTTCCAACTATGTTATCTCCTATCATTCGTACAATTCTAGACTAAAGACTTTTTACGACTGTTTAAATAAATGAAAAATGTAAATGCAAGCAACAGAAGACGATCGGATCTGCTTGAACTTTTGAGCGCATTTTAAAAATATCGAATGCATTTGCAGTAGAAATACTTGGGAGCCTTAAGTTTTAAATGCCGTTTGAGGTAGTTATTTGCCCACAAGTGGAGCTGGTGAAAGGAGCAACGCCCCAATAAAGCTAGAGTTAACAGAGTGCATTAAAATCCACTTTAAGCTCAAATTAACTAATTGACAGGCCATAAAAGCAACTTGGTCGACATTTAACCGCCACGAAACACCCAACCCAAAAAACTATAAAACCAAACAAATAACTATTTTCGAGTTTCAGCCGGCAACAACAACAACAACAACAGCAACAACAACAACATCGACTACAAGAACGATAACAACGATAACTTTGTGTGTCGCATAAACAAAAATACAAACAAAATTCGGACGCAGGCAAATGCATATTTAGGATAACAAGAGCATGGACGGGGGCAGGGGGTGGAGTTTTGGGGCGGACTGTATAACAGCTATATTAGCGCGAGTATACATAAAAATACATGCATATGTATGCGAGTGTGTGTGTGTGTGTGTGGCTAACACTAACCTCAAAAAGTTTATTGCGCGCAGTTGCAGCGGCGTGTAGACAAAAAATTGCAAATTGCAGCGGCGTTTGCCTCACACAGACACACACTCACACAGACACACACACACACAATCAAGCGAAGTCACACAGAGAGCAGCGAGAGACACTAATACACTTGGACAATTGCACGTGCTCACAGTGGCTCACACACACACACAAACACAAACACACACACGGAAAGTTACAGATGCAGACACCCCCGCGTACCGTTGTTGCCGCAGCTACATCAAATTTTTATGCACTCACACACACGCACGCACACTTGCACACGCTTTTTAGCTGCAGTTGCAGTTGCAGTTGCAAAATGCTGCAAACGTTGACAAAATTTGTAGATTATGTGCGCGAAATAGTTTTAAATCGAAATGTTTTTTTTGTTGTTGTTATAGCTCTTGGCGGTTTATCGACAGCTGCAGCTGCTGCTCCGTTAGCCTGGCTTCCTGGCGTTGCGTATACGCCGCGTGTCTCGCACACAGATGCACAATTCGTTTGTTTATTCGAAATTCTGTTTGTTGTTTCGTTATTATTTTGTTTTTTGTTTGCGTGTTTATATTTTCTTCCTTTTTTTTTATATTCTTTCCTCAGCTTGCGACTACATTTTGTTTTTAGTTATTTTATTGCTGGCTATTTCCACGCAGTCGACGCTCTATAATACAAGTACTCGGGTACTCTCTATATATAAACCGTGTGCAGCTTTTTATTAGATGTCGACGTCGTCGTCGTTGGCGGTCGACGACTGCAAGCGGCAGCGGCAGCGGCACAAAAATCGAACAAAATGCCCAAAAAAAATCGTAAGTACAACAAACCGAATCTGAATCCGAAACCAAAGCGAGGCGAAACGAAACGAAAAGAAACTCAGCGCAAGGCGCAGCGGGGCGAAGTCGTCGTTTCTTTTTTTTATTTTTGGTTTTTTTTTTTTTGTCTGTTTTTGTGGGAGCGGAGCGCGCGCCAACTTTTAGCTATGGCTATGGCCACGGGTCTGGGGGTCTCTGGTCTCGCCGCCAACTACAAATATAATGTCTACACACAAAAAAAGCAAAACCAGCGAGCAGCGAGTAACGAGCGACTCTCTCACACTCTCTCTCTCTCTCTGTCTCTCTTAACGCACACAGTCGCTCACTCACACTCGCACACACAGAGGCGCTCTCTAAGCTTTTTTAGTCAAAACAATTGCAAAATTTTTTAACTTTTTGCCGGCGGGTCGAACCCCGGCCTCCAGCTGTGCTTAAGTGTGTAAGTGTGTGCGAGGCACAAGCTTGTTAGTGTTAGTGCAGTCGCTGCCAAAGCTCTCTCAGCTCACGCTCTCGCCGCGTAACATCAGCATTATGCTCTCCTCTCAGCTTGTGGCGCTCTGTTGTCGATTTTCTAATGTTGCGGCCCCATGCCGCTGTTACGGCGACGCCAATGCTAACGCTGACTGCGCTGCCAGCGCAGCTGTTTTTAGCGCGTGCTGCTGCTGCTGCCGCTGCCGCTGCCGTTTGATTGTGTGTGTGTGTATAAAGTTTTTTTTAATTCTTTTCTCTCTTAGTTGCTTAATACGTCTGCTACTATTTGGGTTCTACGATTAATGCGCAGTTAAGACCGAAAAAGCGTACTGAAAATGACAGCTGCTGTTATTTCGGGAAAGGGCAGCTGATGGGATTAAAGCAGCTACAATAAAACATATGGCAGCTTTTAGCTAAGATGACGCTAAATTATTTTTCAGATTGATCAGGAATCTTTTTATCTAAACCTAAGATTGGATCCCTTCTATTCCAGACAAATGCTGGACTTTTATAGTACTAGGATATAATTGTTTAGCTAGGCTCCACTTTTGCTGATCGACCTACATATATCTTTGTTATCTTTAAACTCAAAAAGTTAAACTCTCTGTTCTCTGATCTACTGGCTATCTCCCTCCCACTCCACTGACTGATATCTTAGCTGCAATTCGACCTCAAGACCCGCTGACCAATCTCTCAATCGGCCCACACACTCAACCGTTTGGGCAATCAGTTAAGAACGACACCCACAATGGCCAATACTCAGTTAAAAAACGGCTTAAAGCGCAAACCTCTATCTTTATACTTCCCCCACCCACTAGCCCGGCCACGCCCACCGCGGCGGAATTGTGGCAACGCCCACTCAGTCAGTCACTTATCGTGACCAAAGAACAGAAATTTGCAATTGTTCATTTGATTTCGTTGTTTTCCGGGTTGACGAAAACGAGCCGAAAATGAGCCGCAGGGGGGGAAGCGCGGCTATTCAATTCAGAGGGGTGCGGGCTAGATTGACAGGTGCCGTGGTGGGCGGGGCGGCCCAGGGCGGGGCCGGGGCAGCGTGTGCGGGAAAGACACATGTACAATATAAAGTAAATTATTGTATGATGTGTATGCAATATTTTATAAATAAACAACCAATTTTTTTGTATAAACAATCAAAAAACAACAAAAGAGGCACCCGAAAACAACAACAACAACAACAACAACAATGCCAAATAAGTACAAAACATGTTGAGCATGCACGAAGGGATGGGAAGGCGGGAGGGAGGGGGAAGCTACATGTAGATATGTGTTTATACAGATATACATAGGTCACAATTTGCTGCCAGCCAGATATGTAAAATATTAAAAAATAATATAAAAAGCAAAAAAAAAAATTAAATTATCTACAACAACTGCTGACAACGTCTCGTCGTGTCTTTTCTGTCGTTTTTGCATGTTGCTTACTTTCGTTTCGTTTCGTTTTTTATTTTATTTTATTTTTATTTCAATTTTTGGCAACGTTGCAAAAACAACAACAACAAAAACACGCAGAACGACAAGTTTAAATGTAATTTCAAGCCATAGGCAAAAAATTAAATAAATTTAAGAAAGAACTGACTTCCGTATACCCGACTGTTAAATGCTCTAGCATGCATATATAACAACTGTTAGTCAGACTGATGCACTGACGTACTGACTGACTGACAAACTAACTGACTGATTGACAGACTGACCTATTGCCTGATTGACTGGCTGACCGATGACTGATTGACTGACTAACTGAATGACAGACTGACTGACAGACTGTCTAACTGACTGACTGGCTGACTGATGTCTGACTGATTGACTGGCTGACTGATGTCTGACTGATTGACTAATTGACTGCTTGACTGATTGACTGACTGATAGGCCGAGTTAGTGGCATACGGACTGACTGACAGACTGTCTAACTGACTGACTGATGTCTGACTGATTGACTGACTGATAGGCCGAGTTAGTGGCATACGGACTGACTGACAGACTGTCTAACTGACTGACTGATTGACTGATGTCTGACTGACTGATGTCTGACTGATTGAATAATTGACTGCTTGACTGATTGGCTGACTGATTGACTGACTGATAGGCCGACTTAGTGGCATACGGACTGATTGACAGACTGTCTAACTGACTCATTGACAGATTGATTGATTGATTGACTGACTGATTGACTGACTGACTGAACAGACGGACTGTGTGACAGACTGATTGGATGATCAACGCATATCCAAAGCTGTAAAAGCTAGGAAATTGTACTATAGAAGGGCAATCTTCCACGCGCAATTGTGGAAAATGCGTGAAAAACAATTGTACCACTTTTTGCTTAAAGTTCGCATTTGCGAAATTTTGCATTTCAGCGTAAAGTTCATTTTTAAAGCTCTACTTTATTCAAGCACAAATTAAGTGTATCAACGAACCGAAACCGAATTGCGCGGAAAACTTTGATTGCAATCAACTGCAAACCCATTTGGAAATATCTATGCAATATATAATTTGAGACGCGGAGCTTAAGGTAGTATGATTAGAATTGGGTGGCGGAAATAATATCCAATATTTTGATTAAAATATGTGCCTGTGCAAAGCCGGGCTATATCCGTTAGTACTAAACAATATTTGGTTAACAATCAATAAATTTCATGTTATTGAAACTAGATGGAGATTGAGTACGGGAGTGCGCGACTAGGGAATACCCTGGTTTACTCTTACTTAATGCCGCAAATATCGTGTTGCATATTTGATAGTTGATACTGCGCCCTGCAAGGGTTTATAAACTTACTCAAAGAAAAAGAAAAAACATTTTCATTTCATTTTC